AGGCGCGGGGCAGGGCACTGAATGGGGGTGGTGCGGGAGAAACACGGGTGGGTGCCTGCCGTGAGGGGACGGTGGGCTGGGAGCGGCTGGATGCCTGTGGGGGAGAGAAAGAATACAGGGGAAGGGGCACATGGATGGATGGATGGATGGATGGATGGATGGATGGATGGATGGATGGATGGATGGATGGATGGATGGAGATGTGCTGGAGGAGGAGTGGTGGAGCAGATGGACAGAGAGCTGTGCAGAAGGCCGAGCAGCCCGGAGGCTGGGAATGGGTACCAAGGAGGCAATGGTCAGAGGGAGCTCTGGAAAGTTTCCCCGGCCAGTTTGCATTTATGGTTTCCAGTTTCATGTCTCCTACCACGCTTGGGCTCTGATGAGCTTGTTGCAGTAGGTGATCTGGACACAGTGTTACTTTTTTAAAATTATTCTGCTACATTTCTATTTTTTTCCCCAAAAAGTCTGTCATGATACCAGCATTTGTCCCTTTTCTCTCTCCATTTCCTCTCCTGACACTTCTGTGTTATTCTTTATCTTGTGTTCTCTAACAGTCATGAGGGAGAATAAAATTACAGTTTTTCTATGTATCATACTTAAAATACACGTGTTTATGATTGGTATATAAGGGGGTGTCATTTTTTCTTCCTGAAAATCTGTATCTTAAAAGCATCAGTGCATTAGTAGTCCCTTGTATATGAATATTGAATGTCTATTCCTAGTACAGTTTCACATTTCACAGAGATAGGTTTCTTTCCAATGAATGCTTGATTGCAGCTGCGGATTGCTGAGCAGTTTCCTTTTTCTTCCTTTCCCCCCCACCCCTATGTCAGCTATATCCTAGACAGGCTTCAGCTTCTTGCAGCTCCTGGTGCTTGCCACACTGCAGAAGGAAACATTGCAGCTGTAGAGTGCTTCCAGGGTTCCTGGCTCTTGGAGATTTGGGCTTTTGAGCAGGTAATGGGGAGAAATAGTTCCTGCCCTGATCTAATCCCAATCAAAAGAAATAAATGGAATACAAGAAAAAAATGATAGGTCTTTATCTGGTTTTCTGTGTAATTAATAATAAAAAAAAGCTGATTTTTCAGGGGATGAACTGAGAAATCTGAAGACTTGGTGTCTGTAGCACTAACAGCAATATAAATATGCATATAAATGCATATTTAAAAAGATGTATGCTATTCTATTTATGTAATACATATCCTTAGTCCTAAAGAGCCAATTCTTTGAAATTCAGAGTGGATTTCAAGAGGCAGAAAACCCAAAATTCTGACCTTATGAGTCAGGGTTATAAACACCTGTGTGAGTGTATTAAACCTGCAGTTATTCATGGAAAGCTTATCTGGGATGCAGCTTGGCTGAGCTGGAATGGAGCAGCAGCAGCACAGCACTCCACTCTTTGTGGAGCTGGCTGTGGTCTGGTATGGAGGAACACGGGAGTGCTGTATCCAGGGCCAGGTGCAGGAGCAGTTCCACTGCCTTTCTTGGCACAGAGCCCGACCTAAGAAATGCTCTGAACCCGAGCTGGCTCTGTGCAGACCCATCTTGGGAGCCTTTGGTGGCATGTTTGCTCTACCAGAAGTGCTTACACACGTGATATGTAGAGGAGCAAGTGGCTCCACAAAGGATTATTGACTCAGGCTGGGATCCACTTTGTTGAGCTCCAGACAGGCCCTACAGAATCCTTCAGGTCTCTGGGCCCTGCATCCTGTCAGAGGAGGGGTTTGACTGATCGTGGGCCTGGGTTTGATTTGTGTGCCAGAAGCCCTGGAGGCTGTGCTGGAGAGGAGAGAGAGGTGAGCAGCCAGCCTGGGTCCAGCAGGGCTGAGATGGAGCAGAAGCTGGCGAGCTGTCACTGCCTGACCCCTGTGTGTGTATGGAGTTACGCCCCCCAGAGTGCCCCAAAGCATTTGTTTTAGCTCTTTTCACTATCCAGCCTTGCTAATGAACACCTCATTATGCCAAGGATGGTGATGGGCCCATATGGATGTGTCTGAAACTGGTGTATGAGGTGCTTGGAGAAGGATATGGTTCACACTCAGTTTTAGCAATGGCACAGCCGTCTCCGATTCTCCTTTCTGCTTCTTCAGAGAACTGTACTTCAAAGGCTCTGCATTATGGCTGTTTCATTCTCCAGGATGCTTGTTGTTTGGTTCACCAAACTAATGAAATCTCTAATTTAAATCTCTAAATTAATCTTTAATTAAAAGACTGGCCACCTATTTAGTGTTTTCTTATGAGTTTACTTTTAACTTGTGGTGAATGTCTTTACTTCATTTGAAGATTTTTTTTTTTCACTTGCACTCAAAGTAATTCTCTGTTTCATGTTAATAATGCACACAAAAATAGTTTGAGGCCTGCATGCATGCTTCTTCTCCTTCCCACTTGCATACACATTTCCCCATTAACTCCACGTCTGCCATTGCAAAGCAGTTTCAATGCAAGAGGCCAAAAACCAGTTAGCAGAAAGCAGCTGACTGAGTTAAAAGATCCCTTGGTGCTGGGTTTCCTGGACCATAGTATATGTGTGTGTGTGTGTGTTTTATCTGATGTCTGCTACTGCCATTGTAGCCAGCCTTGTCACTGCTAATGCACACAGAAAAAAGAAAAAAACAGCACTGGCATAACACATTTCTCATCTTTGATTCATTTACATGTAGTTTAAATTCAAATCTGCTGGAACTGAGCCATGTCTTTACTTATAGATATGTTTTTAACAGGAGTTGTGATCCTGTGAAGTCATGATTGTTAGTTTTCACACCAGTCCATGAGACTACAGCTGCATGTTCAAACAAAGCCATGTTAACAGGGAAAGATGGATTTAGCTGTGAAACTTGGCAAGACTTTTGTTTGTTTGTTTTTTATCTGACAATAATCAGTTAAAATGTTGTTTTTGTCATGCAAACGTAATGTCTGCAGCATCAGCAATTGCTTCTGAACAGGGACAGACTGTTATTGGCAATGAAGATCAGTTGTTCTGCATCCAACACCAAAATGAGAGATAATCTTTATAATAAAGCAGGAAAGACTTATTTAATTTATTTTAATTATTGCATTTTTTAATATCTTATTCCTAAAAATCAAATGAAATGTATCAACCATGTGAAAAATGTAGTCTGTATTTATGTTAGAAATAGAATTCTGTAGGCTTCCAGAAGGAGTCACATGTCATGCGGGGAAAAACACTTTTTTTGTTCCTCTGACAATGTTCCAGTTAGTGTTGCTGTTTATGCTGTCTCAGGTAAAGCATTGTCATATTGTTACATGTCTCTGTTTTAACAATTTTTAAGTTTGAAGAGAAGACTGAAAATCAGATCATTGTGCTATTTTAAGAGAAGACATAATTGAGAGAGAGAGCTGTTTGAAACTGGTCAAAGTTGGCTTACAAAACCAATATGGCTTTAACTTAAGAAGGGCAGGTTTCAATTAACTGTAATAAAAAACTTCCAAGCAGTAAGAGGAATTTGAGGAAAAAACAACTTCAGTTTATGACTTAGACTCTGATAATGGAACTGGTTGCACATGAAAAGTATGCAAATCCAAAAATCTAAACCTCTTAACAATGGACTTCTCTTCCTTGCTTTGCTCACTGTGGCAATTGACCTTTCTGGGATTGTGTGTGGCAGAGAATCATCCTGGCTTTGCCTTGTACAAGTGGAGAATGTACGGTCATACCTCAGTCATAAGCACTGTGTTCAGAAGATGGTGGCTAACTGTGTGACTCTCTGTCTTGTGACATTAGTTGTAACTCTTACATTGCATTTCGGGATGCCCAACATCATGCACGGCTGATTTACAGAAAATGAGAAACAGGGTTAGTAACCAATCTTCATCAGCGTATGTCCAGGCCTTTCCAGATGTTCAGCTGTCCAGTCAGCAGTACTGCAGGGCTGCCATGATGTGAGAGCATATGTCCAGCAATCTCAGGAAGCTGTGGAATGCTTTTGTTTTGCCAGGATAAAATTTTGATCAGAGAAAGACACATGTCCAGGAAAATCCACGTATGGTATAGCCCTCTCAGTTGGGAATTAACATCTGATTTGGAGAAAAGTCTGATTAGTAGGTATTAATTATGGCTTGATGTAAGTATTGAAACAATGAGAATAAAGCAAAAGTGTCTAACAGCTCATTTAATGAGAGTCCTTCATCCTGTGCAAGAGTCAAGGGCTTGTGGAGAATTTGGGATGCAGTGGTGTCACTGGTTGTGTCAGAACACATGCATGAAAGAGACACATAGAGATAGCAGATGCCTTCCATTTTGGCACTTGCAGAGTGAATATTTGGGATCAAGCAAGGGGAAAAGCCCTGCTGCAGACCCCCTCTACAGGGGAGAGCATTTTCTGCCTCTGGTAACACTGTGGTGAGATAGCACTGAGAGAGCTGGTTTGAATGGGGCCAGTCCTGAATCCATTCCCACTGATGTTGCACACAAGTTTGGAATAGTGTGCTAGGCTGTCCCCCTTTGCCTGTCGTCCACACAGTCACTGTACCTGCCCGTGGATATGTTTGGGTGTATAATGCTTTAATGTTAAAGTAGAGACTGTCTTTTGCATCTTGCTCAATTGTGCATTGCTTTAGTTCTGGGAGAAAAATTCTTTTCTGACCCTAGATAGGGATCAGCTCAGCTTATGCTCCAAAGAATAGAGATTAATATCCCCTGTGACCTTTTAGCCTGGCTGCTGCAGGGCTTTTAACAAGTGGGTTTAAGACCCCATGTGTGGCAGCTACTCGGACTTGAATGTCTGTAATGTCTCTTCTTGTCAATGATCCGTGAACTGAGGAATCTCCAAGGATATCTTGACTTGCAGTGGAGCTGTTACGGTCTAGTGCAGGAGAGAGCCACACAATGGTGAATCAAAAGCTGGTGTCACAAGTAGTGTGTAAGTTGTTCTAAATGTACTTGACAACAGTTGTCCCTGGCTGTATATTTACTTAAAAGATGTGGCTGTGGTATGCTAGGAAAATTAAATATTTAAACAAAGCTCCAGATAACAAACAACAAAATGCTTTCTTTATGATTTCTGTATTTCTGGTTCCTTGGATGTCTCTGATGTTGTATGAACTCTATAATACAATGTAGAATAGATAATAAAGAGTGAGTACATAGCATGAAAAGGTCCTCACCTAGTTGTAGTTACTTCTCCCTCCCTCTCCATCCCTGACATTGAAGAATGGGATGATGAGAAAACAACACAGGAAATAATTCCTTCCAAAAAATAATTTTCCCTTGATTTTGGACTTATTTGTTTTGATTTGCTTTGGATATTCTGAATTAACATTACCTTCATTGGTGTGCATAGGAGGCTTGTAGTTTGTTTAAACCATTTTTAGCATTAGTTTTAAATAGCAGTAGAATCTCAGCAAACTGCCTGGGATTCCAGGAAAGCACTGGTTTAGGATTGAGGCCTATAGCTGCTGTTTCAAATAAAGCTCAGGTAAATAGATGGCATTATCTTCACCTTTTCAAGCTGTATGACACCTTGGGTGTCTAGTGAAGGTAATAAGTAAAAACTGAAGTGCCTGAATCCACAGGAAAGATCCAGGGGCTTTTGTCAGCCTAGCTCTGGAGGCATTGACTGCTCAGGAGGTACATAGGTGTACATCCACCAGCCTCCCCCCATGCTCCAAGTTTCAGTGCTGTCAGTGTTTTATAAGCTCTTCAGTGTGACACACCAGGCATCAAGCTCATGCATAAACTTTGGCATCACAAGCATGAGGCTAGAGGCCTCCATACTCTTGGTAGCTGGAGGAAATGGGAGAGTCTTGTTTGGTTTGCTCCTGCAGTTTTAAAACTGTGTACATTTTTCTGCTTCCTGCCTCTCATCTTCCTTGTCCTGAAGTGGGCACATGTTTGCATGGCTCCTATGGCTTGCCTCCTGCCTGTGGATTGACCCAGCTCCCACCACAGGCAGAGATGAGGAGGTTGTCTCTGCTGAGCAGGGGACTCTTCTGGAATTAAGGGGAGTTGGTTGTAAGTATCAGTCCTCTTAAGGGAAAAGAGAGTTAAATATGCCCAGAGGGTGGGAACTAGCTGCAATAAGGAGCAATAAGAGGTTGCAAAGCAAGTGTGTTTTCTGTTTAATGGATTTCTAGGAATTAAATTCAGCAGTTCCTTAAAAATGTTTTATTTACTTGCTGTCTTTCACTACATATGCAGAAAACCTCCAGAGATTTGAGGAATGCTTTTCTTAATAGTGACAGGCTGGTTGTGAAGCAGATCCTGACTTGGATGTGTTTGAAGACAGGTGAATGGCTTCTGCCCCACATGGTGTTCTGTTCATTTGTAAGCTGACTCATGAGATCTGAATGGGTTATAAACTATCTTCAGTTCCTATCATTTTATGTATTTCCTGTGCAATGTGGGTGACATCACTTTTTTTTTTTCCTATTAGTGACAATCTGCTGTATTTAAAAATTAAATTATCTTAGTTGCTGCTAATCCTGATCTTGGTAATGATGTATCCTGCCTATGTCAGGAAACAAAATTAGGATTGTCACCCTTTCCACCTTAGATTTTCTCCTGCCCAGTAGTTTACAACAGCCAGCAGGAATGCTGTGCAAGCTGAAATGTGCAGCACAGCATGATGACAAGTAAAGCCCAGTCAGTCCTGCTGTGCTTGGTGGAGTGTCAGCTGTGGGGTAGCAGTATGTTCTTGCTCTCAAAGTCATCAGCCACATGCAAGCTGTGTGACCTGTGGGTTTAAGTGAGGGTGGCAGTTTCCATGGCTTTGCTGCAGGGAGCAGGAGTGGTGAGGTGGTGGAGCAGACCTGGTGTGCAGCTCTAGGCAGCAGTTAGGACCATCAGTGTGGCACCCTTGGGACGTGCAGTGTGTGTTTGCTCAGGGCAGAATGAATTTCGTGTGGATGCCTGTTTAACTTGTCAGGGGTTTGAATTTTGCTAAGCACAAGGGAATACAAAAGCCTAAGACACATGCTCCTTAATGCCATCTTGCTCTTGTGTGTTTATAAAACCTACTAACATTTTTATAACCCACTAGATGTAAAAGGTTGCTTCTGCCTGTTCTGGCTTATGTCTGCTACCACCTGTTCCTTCTGTGTGCACTCCTGTAGCATGGGCTGTTTTCAGCTGCGTAGTCTAAACTGTGTTTGTATCCTTCCTTCCCAGTTTCTTCTTCCCCTCCTTGGTTTTGCCAAACCCTTGATACAACTAGTGGACCCCACTCCAGAGCTGACCTCCTCCCTCTTGCTCAATGCAACTCTGCATTGCATAGCTATGAACTGCAATTTTTTATTTTTCATTTCCAGAGGTTTATATCTCAGTGAATGTCAGGGACCCCACACATACTGAGAGCACAAGAGAAAGGAACTGATGCTCTTTTTCTTGGTGGGGACCTAAACTTTGGGTCATATGAGATTCAGATACAAGGGCAGGCACTGCTGCAATCCTGAACCTTAAATACAAACCTAGCTGTACAATACAGCTGAATTCTGAATGTCTGGGTTATTGCTTTCTTGACAGGTTACTGGGAAAAGCTGGGTTATGGGTTTGCCTTAAAGTCTTGCAATTTGAGGACTAGGGGATGTTTGTACTTTGGGAATCACTGTTCTAAGGAATGTTAAATTTGGATTGCTAACTGCCATAAATCCTGAAGTGACATGTTAAATTTAATGAAAAAATTCAAGTCAGCATGTGGATGTTGGAGTACTTTGAAAGAATATTTAAACAGAATGAGGCTCTCAACTTCATCTATAGTGGAGCAGTCATTCAACCATATCATAATCTCATTAGGGTGAGGGCTCTTGAAAGTGTGAAGTGCAGACATCCCTGATGCTGGTTGGCACATTTAGGCATGTATGTAATATAACAGAATAAAAAGCAATTTAATGCCTCGTGTGATTTGTGATTCACAGCTGATGGCTGCTAATACATTGTGGTGATCTACAAATTAAAGTTGAGTTTGTTAGTTTCAGTGTGGGAAGGGCATTTAATTTTGTTGCATTAATTTTAACAGGATTGAGGCCAAAGGCAGCAAAGAAGTTGTGGTTTTAATCACTATAAAAGAGTTACGATTCATGATCTGAAACCTTAGGCTAGTAAAGTGATACTCCAGACATAAATGGTTGTAGAAGAGCAGGACTGGATGGGAACAGTATTGGAAAGACACAATTTAGCTGTGAGAAAAATAACAAAACTGAAGCATCACTGTCTGAATTATTCTACAGCATGTAAAATTCATTTTTTCTGGTAATTATGTTCTCTTTTAGATTTCTGAGTGAAGATGAATTTAGCAGAGATTTGTGATAATGCCAAAAAAGGAAGAGAATATGCACTCCTTGGGAATTATGACTCTTCTATGGTGTATTACCAGGGTGTCATCCAGCAAATCCAGAGACATTGCCAGTCGATCAGAGATCCAGCAATTAAGGGCAAATGGCAACAGGTAGGGTGAAATAACATTGACCATATTCTATTACTTGGTATTTGAAAACCACACTATACCTCCCAAACCCTATAAGATGCAGAGGACTTACATTTCAGTGATGTTGGCAACAGTTGTACAATATTTTGTTGATATTCATGGGAAAATATTTTTCATGGTGTGTTCAAAAGGAATTATATTGTTCTAACTGAATCAATTCTTCTGTTCTTGTCACTTAGGATGTCTGTCTAATTCCTCGTCTGTTTCTTTCTGCATATTCTCTGTGACTGCATACTTTTGAAAAAATTGAGGACTTTCTTTTCCCCTTGTATTTTTTGGCCATCTAATGTCCAGTAAACTAAAATGTGAGTGGGTGGGTTAGCATCACTAGAATTGTTGTCTGACTATAATGACATTAAATGTACCCTAAATGTACACTAAATGACTATAGTGTACAAATTTGGATCAGGTTTCTAAAAGTGCAAGTCATACTCTTAGCCTGAATCTTGCACAGATCTATCTTCCTGCTAGACAGAGTAATGTTGAAACCATGAAAGTAATCTGCAGGTGAAATATAAGAACCCCATCTATTTTTATTACTTTCAGTATTTAAGTCTTCATCACATTTTTTAGCCCATTTTTCATGGTACAAACTGTGTTCTATAAACATAAAAAGGAGTAAAACCATATAAAGATGTTTCCAAGAATAAAGAATTCATGTTGCATAAAGACTATGTTTTGAAAGAATAGCGTATCTCCTATGAAAGATACAATTTTGCAGTAGGGAGCTAAAGAGATGATTTCAGTAACAGTTTTCTAAATATATGTTTGAATGATATCACCTAAAAACAGAAGCAAATTTTCCTTTTTATTGCAGCAGATGATTTGTTTATAGATTTGTGTTTGAAACTTCTGACACTAACATAGAGTATTTTGTGCACTGATAAGTACAACAGTGTTAACAACCACTTTGTCGTAACTACTATTCATAGGTGTTTATCATAGAGCTGTAGAAGTCTGTCTATGAAGAGCTTGTCTGCAAAGTATGTGCCTGTACATCCAGCAGAGATAGTTTTCCTGATAATGTAGTAAGCTGGATGTTGTGTAGGAGATATTCACATTCAAGTACTTGTATTCAAGCTTTTTCCCACCCCAGGACATGCTGATACAAGGTGTTCATGCCCAGTGCATGTCCTTAGTTCCTGCCAAACTTGTAGCTGATGTGAAGGTAGCGTATGAGGATTTCTTCATTCTGCAGCTGAACCACTGCATTGTCTTCACATCTAGTATTTAGTGTTTCTTCTGATGACACTGATTCTTCCAATAAACTTTCAACAGCTCTTGTGTTGTGAAGGTCACTCAAATCTCATGTTACTGTGTGTTGTTTGAACTGCTTCACAGAAGCCTGTGCACCATGGAATGTGTGCTGCACATAGGAGACAAACCTCAAGTACAAAAGGACCATTAACACAGTTTCCAGGATTTATTCCCTGGGGAAGGCAGCTGTCTCTCCAGCAGAGGATCTGAAGTTGGCACCTTCTCAGAAATTATCCCCTTTAGGCAAAAGAAAAATTGCTCCTGACCATGTCACATAAATGCTTTAGAGATGTGTTCCAAATAAGATCTGCAGCAGGTGGGGTAGCGTCTGTCACACTGTGCACTCATGTTAATTCTGGAACTTCCCAACATAGTAGTGGCAGAGCTTTGTCAGAATATTGCTTTGCTGTTACTGGTGCCAGGCTTGGAGACAAACAGCAAAAAGTAAGAAGTGTGACTGAAAAAAAACTGAAGGGCTTCATCCCTAGGTTATTTGCCTTCTCATTCGTTTGTGGGAACAAAATGATATAGCCCAAGAGCAAACAATGCAGCCCTGGAATTACTAGCTTTTCCATACCAGAGCTTGCATGTTTTGGTGAGACCTATAGAGATAGACCTGCTTTCCTTACCCACTCTTTATAAGTAAATAATTGTTGTGCTTTCTCACTTCTTGAGACAGACTAAGGAGGAGTCTGGTGATATGGATGTTAGCATTACTTTCCAGCTCCAAACAGCAGCTACATTCAAACTGTCAGTCACAGTCAAGCAGCTATCTGGAATGACAACCTGTTCTGAAAAAAATGTAACTGAGAAGTTGGATCACAAATAACACTCATTCACAGTATTAAAGCAATATCTAGATATTAATTTTAGATCTTTCTCATTAAAGAGTTATGCCATACACATTATGTAGGTTTAGCAAATTTTGAGTCCAACCCACTTGGTACCAGTAATGTGCAGAAGCAAAAGATTCCCATACCAGTGTGGTTCTTGCAAGTGGCTTGAGAAGCAAAGCAACCCTTAGGTCAGGGGTAAGGGGGTTAATGCAGTTGATTTTTACCTGAAATTCTGTCTTCTCAAGCATATGGAACTAGCCTGTTCTTCAGGTTCTTCAGCTTCTCCATCATCTGAGGAATCTGGAGAGGATAAGACCACTGGTGCCTTTTGGAGGGGGAGTTTAGCAATCACTAACACTGTGGGAGCTTTAACTCTTGAATGTCCTTGTAAGTAAGTGCTCAAAGGAGAAGAATGTTACGTAAACTAGTTCTTCTCTGGGATGTGCTGTCTGCATACACATTCACAATATCGAGCCTTCTGAAGGATTCCTGGGGTACTGAGTGTCAGTATGAAGCATCCCCTTCCTTTCTGTATGGTTTGTTTGCAGCTCACTAACAGGGTTTTTGTCCTACTGATACTTCTAGGGCAGTGATCTAAGTTTTGTGTGTTTGTGGACAAGTTCCATTGTAAAACAAAAATGTTCATTTGAGGAATATCTCAAAGAATGGTTCCAGCTGTGGCTGTGCAGCTGACCAACTTACATCTCTTACATGCACCATTGTTCTTCGTGTTTGGTTCTTCTCAACAGTGGGTGCTCCATCCTGCATAGGTACCTCATGCCTGATGGATCTGCTTTGTTGCCTTGTATATGAAGAGGATTTTCTCAGTAGTTTATTGAGCAATGTCAAAGCCCAGGTGAACCAGAACTAGTTGGGATTTTGGGTCAGATTCCCAAATGCTCTTGATCTACATCTCTTTGCAGAAGTGTCATTGTTTTAAAATTGCTACAGATTGGTCTGGACAGAATTATGTTCTGTGCAAGTATTTGTTGAGCTGTATTTCATGTCATACCGAGAGACAGCTTCAGCTTTGCAACTGGATGTCTTGATTTTGAGGATTCCTCCTGCTTGGAGCTGATGGTTAGGATGAGGAGGAATATGAACATGTTAACATCTCCTCTGCGAACAACGGACTCATTCAGTTACAGCTGATGCAGTACTGCTTCTGGGAATTCCAAATCAGTGCTAACCAGGGAAGAGGGATTCTGTTATTGTCTGGCACACCCTGCAGATCTTAAACAGGGCAAAAGATGCACCAAAGCAGAGACATGACAGCATAAGAATTCCTCTGACTTCATGGAAAATTCACATCCATTGATCATCATCTCTTGACTGGTTTATCTTGGGGATGTCAGGGTGACCTGGTCTTGAGACCGTCCTTGTTTTGCATCCAGGGAGTTCCCAGCTTGCACTTGGGTTGCCCAAGTGTACCTCCATTTGCATCTTCACTCCTAGGCCGCCTGAGCTCATTTAAAAAAGAGAAAGTTACTTTGTTGTGCTTTGAGGTTAGGCTGACAGGTAGGCATATTAAGTCATGTAAATGCAGGCTGGGACTGGAAAGATACAAAATCAGAAGCAACTCATCCTTCCCAAAACTAAAAGGTAGGTTTAGTCTCATGTCCACTACTGTGAACTTGTGTTGACGTTCTCCCTGTTTATTCTGAGAGAGTTTCTTGGCTGCTGCAGTGTTTTTACTAGACAGCTGGCTTGTAGGAACGAGCGGCTTCAGTGACAGCTCAGCAGCTGCAGAATGACAGCAGAGTGTGCCCCTGGGAGATAGTGCTGGCTTACGACAAGGCCAGCGGCTGTCAAGCTAAACCTGCTGCGTGTTAGAGCCATGTGCTCCGTGTTGCACAAGAGCTGAGAGCACAGGGGCCTCCACTGGAGCTCAGGCAGGAGTTCAGTGATTCCCTGAGTGCTTGGAGCAGCCAGCAAGGCACTGACTGACTATGGTCACTGGTGCAGGTGCACTGATTAGGTGCACTTTATTCCTGCTTAAAGAATAAAGGGTAAATTATTATTATTATTATTTCAAACACATTTTAGTCAATCTGTGCTTTTGTTGTTTTTTGCTTCATGCCTATTTCATTAACATTTAGTAGGTTGTCTCGTGATTAACTTAATTAAGAAACATTCTGTGGGTAACTCGTGAAGAGGTGTCATTATAGGAGCTATACCCTCACTCTGTGTGATCAGACAGGGTTGCAGGATATCTGGTTTAGGGATCTTTTATTTTCACTTTTTAAAAGATCGAGCTTGTTGAATAGCTAACACTAATTGCAGGTAGTAATTTCAGGTTTGGAAAACACTTAGAGATAAAATTGATGAGTTTTCTTCCACAAAAGAAAAATCCCACACATTTTTTGTGTTTACCAAGGTACAAATACCCACGCTTATTGCAATGGGTATAGAGGTACAAGCTCTAACATAGCAAATAAAAGCTGGTGATGGAGAAGGTATAACAGTTGCCAGATTATGAAATACAAAGGTACTCCCTGAAATGGGTTTTGTAACTACCACTAAGAATGAGTGAACTCAATTTGTTGTTCGCTGTGTTTTATACCTATATGATAGGATGTTTTCTGCTTGGTTACTGGAAATTCTTGGGGGTCGCATGTCAAAACAAAGCTGTGGAGCCATCCTGTGGGCTGAAGGGCTTTTTTTTGGGCCTTCCAACATCACCCACTGCCCAGAGGAGGTGATGGGGCTGGTAGGGGCAACTGTAGTGGCTGTACCAGAGCCTGCCTCTGGGGACCAGGCAGTTTCACATGGTAGCTGAATCCACCTAACGTCCTGCCATGCCTAGAGAGGCCAAGCTCTTCCCTACCTTTTTTTTCCCTTCCATCTGTGCCAGCTTCTCTCTCACCTCTGCCCCCTTCCCTTTTTTTTCCCTGGGATTTACCTGATCACAGGATAGTGTGCATGTGCAGCTTGCTAACCCAGCAGAAGTGTCCTTTATTTTTTTTTTTTTTTACCCTCCTAGGCCAATTTTTTTGCCATTTTACCAACCTGTCTTACTGTATTGAGATGCCAGAATTGAATCCAGAAGAGCAGGGGCAATGAGGCTGGGGAGAAGTGAAGGGAATTTTTTCTATTTCGCAGCGGTGAGCTGCTAATTGGCACGCTATCTCTTGAAACTTCTTACACATAAAGAACTTAAAAGTTTTCTTCAGGCTCTCTAAAACCTGAGCTGGTGCCTCCTAAGGGATCTGGTACATAATGGTGTGTATGACGGGGGACAAGGAGACTAGGTGAGTCTAAACCAGTGGTTTTTCCATTTGCATCCTTCCTAGGTTGCTTCAGAGTGGCAGTGATCACTGAAAGACACTGCTCAGTCAACTTCATAATTGTGGCACAACCTTTTTGGCCCATGTCTGAGTTGTTTCTCAACTGCAAGGAAGTCTTTCTGCACGGGTTTCATCTGAGTCAGTTTCTTTAAGGCCTCTAGGAGTTTATGGCTGATTTTCCTTTGTGGTCCACATGCTGAGGATTCCTTGTTGGTTGATTTGCCAGGTATTAACTAAGAAATAGGGTGTGTATTTCAGAGTTTGGTCTGCTCAGGTCAGGTTAAGAGATGGCTGGCAGACACTAGTCTGTTTTCATCTTCCAAAGCATCAAATGGTCACTTTCCCTCAGTTTTCAGATACCATCCTCTTGCTGGTCCAGTGAGGTAAACAACAGCACACTGGCTGTTAGTGCTAGAAAGTTGTTTTCCACCAATTTCTCTGCATGTGTTGGAAGGCTGATAGAATGAATGCTGTCAGTACTCTTGGAGCACTGGAGTAGGAAGTGGCTGTCTCTTGCGGAGTGGTGCCCTGGAGGATTTATGCTGTATCATTCTTTTGTACCTCACAGCAGCTGTTTGGCTGGATTTATTTTTGGACAGGAGGGATGTGTGTGAAGACAGCTTGAAGGAACCAAGTTAGTAATCAATCACATTTGTAACTCAGCTGGAAACTCTCACATTGGGGAATGTGTCCACTGATTGTGTGATGAGAAAGCAAAGACAGCAAAGCAGGGCAGGAATAATCCTGCCTGAGCTGGATGTCTTGTGTCTTTGGAGAGATACAGTTAGCCCATCTGGAAAGAGCAGGAAGGCTGCTTTGCCCTGTGAAATGATCAAGATCTTCCTGTACTTAAGGCTCTTTTTGTATAGGTGTTCATAAACCTTCTGGTAAAGTAAATGCAGTGTTTTGAGATCTGTTCAGGGTCTTGGGGGTTTACCCTTCTCTTTCCCTCTGTCCATGCCAGTATCTCACTGATGACAGTCACATATATTAATAAAATCATGGTGGAAACTCTCAAGCTGGAAGGAAGTCATAAGGATCACTGAGTCCAACTCCCTGCTCCTTCCTAAAACTAAACCACATGACTAAGAACATTGTCTAGATGCTCCTTGAACTCTGGCAGACTTGCTTCCATGACTACTTTACTGGGGAGCTTGTTCCAGTGACCACCCTCTCAGTGAAGAACCTAATGTCCAATCTGAACTTGCCCTGGTGCAGCTTTATTCCATCTCTGGTCCCCAAGGAGAGGAGATCAGAAGCACCTTCTCTGCTGCCTGCCTTGAGGAAGTTGTAGACCACTGTGAGGTCACTCCTCAGCTTTCTCTTCTCCAAGCTGAACAAGCCAAGTGACCTCAGCTGCTCCTCATAAGTCTTGCCCTTGCCCTTTCACCATGTTAGTTGCTCTCCTTGGGATACACTCTAATGTTGTGCTCCTCACAGAGTTCATTTTGTAATATTATATTTTAATGATTTGGCCAGTTCTATAACTAGGACATCAGAGACTGTAATCAGAGATCTTTTATGCCAAAACAGTAGCACATTACTGCAGATCTGCCAAGAGCACCCTTACTAGTATGAGAGTATGTGTGCATACATGTCAGCATGCACACACAAATCCAAGCATCAGCACACGTTACGGAGGAGTGATCACTGTGTTAGCAATCCTGTCTGCTTGGGACATTGACAAGCAGGAAAATGAACTCAATTGCTTATGCTGCTGTTAAAGGTCTGTTATCAACCTGATAGGTCTGGGGTTTGTGAATAGGAAGTCTTCTGAGTCCCTGCCTTTGAGGTTCTTGAGGTACTTTCTATATTTGTTTGGTTCTTTTTAAAGTTTGAATTGTAACAATTTTTAAATAACATACATGCTTCTCAAGGTCCGACAAGAATTAGTTGAAGAATATGAACAAGTTAAGAGCATTGTCAACACTTTAGAGAGTTTTAAAATGGACAGACCTCCAGATATCTCTGTATCCTGTCAAGATGAGCCTTTCAGAGATCCAGCTGTTTGGCCTCCTCCTGTTCCAGCTGAACACAGGTAAGGAGAGGCTCAAGCAGAGTGGGTGGAATAAAGGTGGGTCACCATAATTTTATATTTGTTTGTGAATGCTTCTGTAACATGAAAATCACATTTAATTTACACATTTATTAAATTTAATTTGGTCACTTGAAATAAGGAGTAAATATAATTCACTGAGAAAAAAGTATTTAAACTACAGTCAAATTTATTTCTGACATTCTAAAGAGAGTCACTCCTTTATTCTGGTAGGAGTAACTAAGTGCCTGGAACTAGAATCTTCTGCAGAGGTAAGTGGGCTTTTGGTGACATGTTCTCATGTGCAAGGAGAAAACTTTTCCATTTCAGTTTCTTTGAGCAAAAGAATTAATTGATGACTGAGAAGTCTGTAAGGAGCTGGAACTGAAGGATCTTGAAGGACATGGTGGTTAGAAATCACTCCCTAGCTACAGATAATTCAACCTCTGTTTAATCCATTGGTTAGTTTAATTGCTAAACATGTTCTGTTACACATGGTATATCTCTTCTCTAACCATATTTAGGGTAACTTCAGTTAGCTGATAGATTTCTTAAAATAGATCCTTGTGCATTTTCTGAAATCCCTATTTTCAACCTAAGAGCTGGTTGGAAACAGATTCAGTTTACAGACAAAAATAGCATTTATCATGCCAATTGTTTTTTAACATAAGAGCACAGAATTTTAACTTGTGTATACTCACATAAGCAAAGGAGCAAAGTAAAATGAGAGATCTCGGTTAACAGAAAGAGATGCCAAGTTTATTTATAGCTTTCTGTGCTTTATGATTATCAAAAAGATCTTTGTTTTTAAAAAACAACCCAAGCTAAGAATATAAGTGTAATATTATATTAATGCTGATTACTTTTGTGAGTGGTAGAAATAACTCAGATTTTCTGTGGTAATGTTATGTAAAGTTCAAGATGTATTTATTCTTATATTTTCCTTAGTGGTAAAGCCCCAACAGTTCATCTGCTTCTTTTAGGCTGAAATTTAAATCTTGTGCAAATAAGTAAGGAAACTTAGTCACGGTTCTCTGCTGTTAAGTTTAAAGAAAATGCATGAAAATCAAAATGTTGCCATTGTATCCAGCAATGTATTTAAGAATGTGCTTAATTTAAAGCATATTCCAGGAAAATGTTTTTGGAGTTAACAAATTTTGAGTTACTCAAAACAAGAATCAGTACAAGATTCAATAGTGGACACTTACTAAATTTGGGTGGCATTCCTGGCTGTTTATTGTAGTTTTGTATTTCAAATTCAATCCCTGGAGAAAAATGACAATGACTTCTTGTCTTAAAACCAAATTCTTTCTCCTCATTCTACTGCTGAGTACTCTTTGACATTGTGGGTGATGCACACAAATATAGGTGATTGCAGTTCGGCTCTGTTTGCTTTTACTTTCAAGGCAATTTTTATGTTTTGACATTTTCACACAGGGGAATGAAGTCAGAGGTAGGCGGATTGTTTAAAATCCTCCCTGTTTTGTTTTGGGGCCTGTCAAAGATTTTAGCCACCTTTTTTTTTATGTCTCTATTTTAAAAATCTTTATTTTACCAGGAATGTCATCTCTTTTTTGTAGAATTTGTGCATGTGAATGCAGCCTAATATAATCTCCTGGTTTGGAGTCAGAGGAATATTCGATTTGACGACTTTTGCTAAATTGTTTCCTCTTTTGTTACATGGGTATTGGTTTGTTGTAAGACTGATTGGGAATACTGATCTGATAATGTTGTTAATCTGTTCTTTTGTGTTTTTTCTTCTTACTTTGGGTATCAGACAGAACCAGGAATGTGGTTTTGGATTTGTAGATACAGGGGAATAAGGCTTAGGGTCTTGGCAGCTTTAGTAATAATGTACTAAGGCAAATTAGAATGTGTCCTTCTTAATGTTGCTCTTTTTTTCACTGTTTTTAGCATGTTTTTGTTGTGGTTGCTGTTGTTAGGGCTCCACCTCAGATAAAACGTCCCAACCGAGATGGCAAATCTTTGAAGAAAGACTCCCCAGGGCTGCAGCCGCGCGGGCCCGTGGGCAGAGCACACCTGGTGTCCAAGGGGGAGAAATCTTCCGGCAGCCGCGAAAGGGAATCCAGAGCCAGGGCAAGGGATGACAAGGTAAGAGGTGGGAAAGAACTTGGCAGGGAGCTGTTGTGCTGCAGCAGGTGGCACAGGGAAGCACTCTTAGTCATTTAATGCAGATAATAAAATTCACAATAATCATTTGTGGGAACACTTAGTGCTTTCTTTTTCCCCACGATCAAAGCATGTATAGTGGAGACATTTTTTAATAATTACACCAAATTAATAAAAGTTTATTATTAATAATTACACCAAATTAAGAAAAGTTCTGTCATGTTTGCTCTATCTTGGTGTAACATTTTTGAGGAAGGGAAGAATAGTGTCCTGTTGCTAGGGGTTTCTTTTCTTTGAGTGAAGACCATGGGCTTGTCTCTAATCTCTAAGTGTTATTCAGGCATGTAGTCCCTTCTCCTCCTTTTCCCCCATATTTGGTGGGTTGTGGTTTTTTTTTTTGTTTTGTTTTGGTTTTGTGGGTTTTTTTTGTTTTGTTTTTTTGGTTTTTTTTCTTCCTTGAAGGAATCCGATACAGGAGATTTGTAAAGGATATTAATGTAAAAAGTGCAAAAATGAGACCAGTGCCCTTCCCTAGACTTGAAGCATTATGAATAGAGTTCCACAGTACCATTGCCTCTGCCATTCCATAGTATAATGCAAGCATGCCTAGGAGTTCAGAACAGTTCCATAAATGCATTGATGATATGTAAATCTGTGCCAAATTATTTGAAGTTACATATTTGAAAATAATATGAGGGAGAAGTATTAAAACCAAACTCTAAGCAACATCCATTTTCTCTGGTTTATGAAAGGGGTTTTGTATTTATTATAGTGTTTAGAAAGAAGCTTCTTGGAACTGTTTTGTTTTAAATGTAAAAGCAATGAAATAAACTAGACTAATCTGGAGATACTTTCTTCTGAAGATCCATGAAAAGGAAGCAGTGCTGAAGTGAAAGAAAAGGAGAAACAGTGATTCAGTATAAAGTGGTGATGTCAAAACCAGGACTGTTTTGTGGCTGGAAAAATGTCAGTGTGCAAATTGCTGTTTCTGAGACACTTGTGTTTTTAAATTTAACTGTGGAGTTAGTGCCAGGAACCTAAGGACTCTGTGGTGTTAATTATACAAGCTGAGACTGTTCTGAAGTGGCATTACTTTCCTGACAGACAAAGATACAAGACATGCCTTCCTATGGGGGCACACAGTATTGTACAGACCTTGAGAGATGAATAAGAAAATATTTAGGCCAGTTTTCTTCCAAAATTTGGTTAGTTCCTTTGTGACCTTTCTATTGCACTTCTTGACAGCTTAGGAACAACTCAAAGACATGCTTTTTCCATCATAAATTGTTTTCTGATACACAGGAAAACTATTAAGTAATCCTAGCCCTTATGACAATCAGAAGGTAGGGCCAGGCACATTTTCAGCAGTGCCATTGAGTGACTGTACAGATCAAGCATTTTAGAAATCTCTCTACCCTGGATCAGTAAGATTTAAAATAACAAGTGTGCCTCCTGCAAGCTATAAAAATCTCGTGAAGATCTGTGAAATTATTGCAAGATTTGCCAGCTATATGAGGAATTGGAGTCATGGTGTGTGACAGGTTCACCAGATGTGCTTGTGTAAGGCAGCCTTCAAAGTCTTAGCTCTAATGAGGGTGAACTCTGCTCTCCAAGCTTTCCGGTGATGAGCATTATAGGGCTTTACTATAAGGAGCCTACAACAACATGACTTGTATAATACTTGTCTCTGGGAATAATGTGATTAGCAGTACTACTGCTGTGAGGTGCAGGAAAAGTCATGGAGGTGTTCCATTTAATATGGTACATTTTAAACACTGCTCTTACCCGAGTAAATTGGTCACTAGGTGGCAGAAGGAAAATATGTCTACTCCTCAAAACATTCCAGTACATGTGCTCTTGTATTCCCCTTTGTCTAGCTCCTGGGTGGTTATTCTAGTTCCTTTGTCTGGGATATGTGACTGAAAATCACCCCAGGTTACAAATCCACATGTGCTATATAATGGTTCTTGTAAGGGATCCATGATTTGCCTTTGAGAAAGATTTTGAATGAAAGAAGAAATAGCCGGGTGTGGGAAGAGGAAGAAGTTAATGCAACTTCCTATATTTTGCACAGAGGCATGAAAACAGGTTTACCTTTCAGTTTTATCCTTTCTTAGTTTACAAGTGTTTGTTCTTCAGTTTCTGAGTTTGAACCATCAAGCAACTTTGTTCTGTAGACTGCTATGTCAAATCAAAGAGATTTGGTAACTTATCATGTTCAATTAAAAATAATAGGGCAAACCTGAAGCTTTAAATTAAGTAACCAAGTATGTTTTCTCCTACTAAATGTTTCAGCTTTGTAGTTTTTGGGTTTGGGTGCTAGGATAGGACTACTTAGAACATGTCATGAACTATCCATTTCCTAAGACATTGACTGCAGTGTAATAGGTTGTGTGCTGTCCTGCCTATAATACCTTAATGTAATGCATTTTTTTTTTCAAGGTAAATGTAAATATAGCACATATATTTTAGAATTGCTCTGCCTCAGTTGAAACAAATGCTGTCTTTCAATGTTTTTCCTCTCTAGACCATAACATCTTTTCATTCTGACAGTAACCATCTTGGGATATGTAATTTTAACCTAACTATGCCAATAAAATTACATTTTTTAGTGCTATATAAATAATTTTGAACTAAACCCACCAGATTGTGTCTATCCACTAAATCCTTATGTGTCTTTTTTTTTCCCTAAAATACTGCTTTCAAGTTTTTTTTTTCCTTCTTAGTTCCACTGGAAATTATTAGGCTTGTTCTCAAGGTACCTTCTGCTGAAGCATTACCAAGAGTTTTAGCTTCTGTTTAATATTTTAGTTTAAAGAGGCAGCATGAATGCTACCAGTATGTCTTTTAGAAATTGCATAATACCATATCTAAGTAATGGAACACTTTTCTGGGAGTACTCTTTAGATTATTTTAGACTGTCAGTGGATAAAGACAGTAAATATTATGAAGGATATGAAACAGCCGAGGGCTGCACAGCCATGTCAGTGAAAGGACTTAAAAAATTAAATTATTTTTGATTGATTATCCTCCTGTGCATCACCAACTGTGACATGAGATGAGATAGTTGCATTTAGGTGAAAGCACATACCTCTGTGCATTGGGACTGGAAGGCTGCATAACCTCCTCTGAAAACACTGAAAGAACTGTTGGGTGAAATTGCAGGGCTGGGAGCACATTTTTACAGTAAAATTGATGCTGTCTCATGTGAATGGTGAGTTGTGTTGACAATGCCTCTATTGAGAAGAGGAAAGGAAAAGCGATCCAGGCAACTAGAGTTGTTAATTGTTATACGTTTTACAACAAATTTAGAGTGGATGAAAAGCGAAAAGCTGAAGACTCGGAACTAATTGAAAAGTGGAATAGAGTGAAATATGGTTTCTTAAGCAAAGGTGTTGCCTCTGCCAGGATTTCTTTAGAGTTCTAGTTAATGTCTCATAGAAAGAAACCAATCTACCCAGATACCACATGGAAAACAATTTGTTAATCTAGTGTGTGGTGTAGAGGAAATTTTAAGTAGGATTAGGCAGCAAGGGGAAAGTAAACAAGCAGTATTGAAAGGAGAAGTGGCAGTCAACTGGCAAATAATTTTTTATTCTTGTTTTGTATTTAAATTAATATTTTTGTGCCAATTTAACTTGCCACAAAAAAGAGACATGCACTGAATTTGCTCATGACACCAAGTTGGGAAGTACCATCACCACAAAAGGCAAATGAGGCTGTTGCACAGGAAGAATTGGATGACTCTGTGTTGGAATAATGGAAATGGGATAATGTTTAGAGGTGCAGAGCATCAGGCTGTGTTCCTGGAAACCATAACAAGAGTTTTTGCTAGAGGCTGGGAACTCAGCAGTAGAGGAGAAGACAGATTTGGATATATCAGCAGAAACTGGATCAGGCTGAACTTCCATTTGGCACATTACCTTTTCCTGGTGGTGATGGGAAGGGCTGGCTGCTTGGGAAGGGGTGAGGCACAATCAGGTGCCACCTTTGGCTTTGGCAGTGACGGGTGGAGACTGCATGTGACAGTGGTTATTTGGCATTTGTATGCAGTGGGAATAACCTGCAGGAAGGCAAGGTGTCTTCAGAGTCCTGGCCATTACAGTTTTGGCCATTACAGCCCTCAGGATTATTCTATGTGAATAATCTTCTGAGATTGCCTTGAAGGGGGAGCAGTATAATAATGCTGTGAATGCAAATGTAAACAAAATCCCAGATTGTTGAGGTGTTCCCAGCAGAGAGAAGAGATACCTGTACCATTATAGGGGGGATCTGGTGAGAAAACAGCTGGAGTATTTTGTGTACAACCACAGTTAAGAAAGATATGTTAACATTAGGAGGGAGAGAAAAAAAAAAAGCATTGACAAAGTGAATGGGTAATTATGTTCAGCTTATGTTCCAAAAGGAGACTTAATTTGGTAAATGAAGGGAGAGCACATAAAGCCTGATGCAAGTGGATCAGTGTGGAGGACACACCAAGGAACGAACTGCTGAAACTATTGCAGAAATTTAGGAGTAGGAATAACATCAATTTTGGAAACAAGGTTTTTGTTCCAGTGTGTTAGTGCAGGTCTAATAGCTCTTCCTGATGGAAAGGAGAGTTAAATGTTTAAGACAGATATTGGTTGCCTGAAATTATGAGATGGGATTGCCAAGGGTGGGAGTAGATTTTTGCAGCCCTGCATACCTATCTGTTGGCATACCCTCTTAGAGAGAAGCCATCACAGCAACATTATTTAAAGCTATTTTGTGAAAGTAGTACCCGAAGAGATGACTGGAAAAATTATGCTTACTCCTGCTGCCTAGTTTCAGGTGACATTTTTAAACAATCATTATTTCTAGTCTATGCTCACCTGCTGACTGAGAATTGCAGATTGGACCAATTTGAGACCAGCATTAAGAATCGTATTACTTGTGAAAACTACAACTACTTTAAATCTTGATTTAATTAAGGAACTGGGGGTAAAAAAAGAAAAAAAGAAAAAAGAATAGCTCAGTGTCACTCCAATGAGAGCCGAGGTGATGCTGAGAGCACGTCTGCCCGCTGGCCGCCCTTCTCCATCGTTCCGCTGGCGGGACGTTCCGCGGGGGCAGGAGAAGCAGCGGTCCCGGGCACAGCGCGTCCCGCGGGATCGGGATCGGGGCCGTGCTGCCGCCCCGCGGCCGCTCCGGGGCTGCCGGCGCTCTCCCGGCCCGGGCCGTCCTTCCCCGTTTCATTTTTGGGTTTCTGCTCCGCCCCGCCGGGCCGAGCTGCGCCGGCTGCCCCGGGCTCGGGGGCTCTCGGGTGCCCCGGCGTGTGCCGGCCTCCCTGCCCTGCTCTTCAGCTCCTGCCTTAACTCGGTGTCACTCAGGAAAAAACAAAACCCAACCGCAACTAGATAAACCAAGTGGTCTGTGATGTGCAGAAAAAAATTTCTACTAGGAATGCCAGTCCATTGCGGAACAAGAGGAGTATGTAGCAGACAACAACTACCTTTCATTTCATTGTCCTGTTTTCTTGTTCTTACTGTTTTTTTAATGGTCACATTTGGATTCTATTTTATCTCTCCTTAAATCTTGAAAACTCCACAGGGTGTCTTTTTGCCGTTTCTTTTTTACACCAGACTACTACATTTTTTACACCAGCTTTCTGCTTAAACACAACTCTGAGCTTCGTTTCCATTGCAAAAAGCTGAGTTAGAAGTACTAAACAACACAAGAGTTCGCTTGGAAGCAAGAAATAAAAGTAGTGGGAAGAGAAACTACTCCCTCCCAAGTCGTCGTGGGCAAACGGCAACTGGGAGGGGTGTAATCGCTGCCTTTTTGTTTTTCCACTGCGAGGTTATTTGTGTGTCTCCAGCTGCCTCTCAACCCGCCTTCGTCTAGGATGCTTTTGTCCAGCCAGCTGGGATTCTTTAACTTGCTGCTGATAGTGTTTAGAAGCTGAGTTAAGAGTCCTAAAGTAGCTCCCTGCTCAGCTCCCTCCGTTAAACCAGCGCAGCTGCTTTTGAGGCACCCTGAATGGTGGGAGGGGAAGCGATTTCCTTCAGAACTGAGAGAGGAGGAGCGTGAGCCCCAAGGCTTCAAAGGGAAAATGTTACTTCGCCCCCATCAGCTGAACTGCACTGTGGAAATACTAACCAGAAGCTCTGGCCCACTTGGGACAGAGTGTGGCTTGATCACTGATGTAGCATTGGTGTGCTGCAAAAATTATTGAAACCTGGGTGTCTTTGGAGCTTCTTTTAGGGCTTTTGGTGCAGCCCTTAAATAAATACAACCTTTGAAAAGCATTTTAATTGTTTTTGAAGCTGGCGTGCAAATGAGAGGCAAGACATGGATAGTTTGTAGTTGAGCAAAGCAGATATTGCAGGGCAGGAAGGCTTTAATGAAACAAAGGGAGAGAACCTTGGTTTTCCTCCATCAAAGACAATGCGTGTGAAGCTTCCCTGTTCCTTTTCGGTGGTAATAGTGTCAGATGTTACTTCTGACAGGTGGCTTGTGTAGCATCTTCAATATGTGCTTTGGATGCTCTGGTGTTCAGCTAGTGTGACACAGCCACCTATGTGAGGCTGTTCCTGCATTCATGCCTTTGGTTGGCCAGGAAATGTGTCAGTTGTGTAATATTCTTATGGGTCTATATGATTTTTCACTTCTAGGGAAAGAAAATGCCCCAGGAATTTGGTGATGGGGATATTCCAAAATTTGATGGAGCCGGATATGACAAAGACCTGATCGAAGCTCTTGAAAGAGACATTGTGTCAAGGAATCCAAGCATTCATTGGTATGAGGATTTTCTCAATTCAAGTGTTTTTGCTAGTGTGAGAAAGGAGAGAAATTACCCATCTTCAAACTCCTAAAATAGGGAGACAAGATAATCTTCTACAGACAGGCAAAAATGAGATCTTTTGCTTTAACAGTTTATTAATTTGATTAAAGTTAAGCTTTTGTTGCTAACTGATATTAAGTGCAGTACATTCATTACAGGTACTGCTGAAATGAGCATATGCTCCAGAGATCTTTGAAGATACTGCTTTGGTGTTCACATTGTCCAAAACAATTTTTAATTAAGCAGCTCGGGGTAACTTGAGTTGAAAATAATTTTTTCCCTGTCTTCCAAAAGTGGATTCAATTTTAGGTCACAGTATGATAGGAGTGCTCTCATGAGGCATATGCTTGCATGCTAAAAGAGGTACTAAGTGAAAAGCTTTTCTATTTCTCTTGTATAAAAATAGAAGAAATAGAGTTGTATGAGAATCTTATACAAGTTTCTTCGTCTTGCACAGGGATGACATAGCAGATTTGGAAGAAGCCAAGAAATTATTAAGAGAAGCTGTTGTTCTTCCAATGTGGATGCCTGATTTTTTCAAAGGGATCAGAAGACCTTGGAAGGTGAGAATTTATGTGGTGGTCTAGTAAATGGCAAGCTGTAGCTATGTGAGACTCCTGCTGTAACATGTGGATGTCTGTAGCAAGGGCTAGAAAGAAAAGATCATGAATTTGTTTATTAAATCCTCTCATAATGATTCATGTAAAAGGCACTGAAAGAAACAGCTGGAAATGTATCTGGCCCTTGGAGTAAACAGTATTTTCTGTTTATTTACTGAGTTATAGCTTGTTGCTATTATAATACTTTCTATATGCCAACCTGAGGATGTTGACTGAAGCATAAATGCTTAACAGACAGCTCTACATAGGCTTATGGTGTCCAGTTGTCATCACTTCCCAGAAGAAAGCAATCCTTGGACTGTTTTTCTCCAACGTTTCAACTGTCTCTCACTCAGACTGCAAACTGCAGCCTGCATGGTACAAGGAAGCAAGGAAAGAGGGGGCCAGCCTGGTGACTTAGATTTGCAGCTGGGCATAGTTGCAGCTGGAGTGGGAAATTCAGAGTAGGAGAAGGAGTTGCAGACAGGGCAGCAGGAAGGATATAGGACTGAACTAGGGTGACTGACCAGAAGTGAGCCCAGTCTGGGCCTTGCTTAGAGCTAAGAAGGAAGAGGAGGGAGGAGTTTGGCGAGCATTTCTGTAAACAGCAAGCAGCAGCATTTTGCTTCTAATGTGGAATGGATTGATGCTTGTTTGGGAAATACCTAGTCACAACACAAGGCCTTTTTGGTTATTGAGAAGCATTACTGGGGAAAAGAGACTTGCAAGTTGTCTGTTGCTCTGAGTGTGGAAGGAAGTGGCGTGTGTAGGGAATGCTGTGTGCATGAGTAGTTTCCTGTTCAGTATGCTGGTTCAGCAGCGTGTGTTGGATCTTGCTCTGCTAACACTTGTTCTGTCTTTTCCTCATCGGTCCTTGTGCTTCCCTGGCTTATACCTAGGTCAGACTCAGCAGGAGCTGGGAGATTGCTGCTTGAGACCTGCTACAGAGTTTTAGTGAGTTGCAGGGAGGGAGCCCAAACATATGCTCAGTGCAAACCTGGCCCCAGCCTTTGCACTTAGAGTGCTTGTGGTCAGTACCAGTGGCCTTGTGGTTAACCTTAGGGTTAACTGAGCCATCATCTTGGACAGAGCCTAAATGTTGTAGGTTAAATGTGTAGGGTGAGATTTTAGAGTATTTTGAATAGCTGAATCTCTTTCTTCTCGGCTTAGAGGAAGTTGATCCATACTCTTGTTATTGACTATGGGGGCCCCATCTGTCTAGTGTTCAAAATCTTCTAATGGAATAAAGATCTGCTCTGCTTTCTTTTTGCCTGTTAGCATGCACAGAGGAGGCAGTGGCCATCTGTCTTTAAGGCAGGTACTTCAGCAGACTGCAGGAAATGTGAAAAATGCCACTGACCTTGTCTACAAGTGCTGTGGCAGGGGATAAAGGAGCAACAGCTTGGTCCTTTAAAGAGTTACAGTCTCCATCTCTTTGCACAAGACTACCTTTTCCTACTGAGCAGTGTCACCTCTGAAAACCAGGTGGTTGTAGACATGGAAAAGATTCTAAGATTATTTCCTCTCTTCAGTCTGAAATGCAAATTGATTTCTGACAAGGCTATGAAGAGTCTTCATTGTTAGCCTTTTCCCTGGTGACTTGTGAAGCTGTAACTCTCATGAATTTATTTTTCACACAGAACAGCATGTATTTTCCCTACTGTTGACCTCTGACTGTGCTATAAGGATGAAAAGTATTGAAGGGAAGGCTGTTTCTTGCAGTAATCAGTGTAGCAGCAGGCATTTGTTGAGCCTAGGAATTCAGGACAATAATTCAGGGAAAAAGGCAGCCGAAGCTGGTTTTGGATGCTCAGACTCCCCTGAGAACAATTCCCAAGACAGCCCTCACAGTTTGTGCTTGTATTCAGAGAACTGTGCCTTGTCTGAAGGAGCCAGCTGTCTTCCCTGATTCAATACAGGTGCTGTGTAGTTGCAGCCGCGGGTTTCTGAGTGTCCATGGGTTTGCTCTTTCTGTTTCTCTGAAATGTTTTGTGCCAAGAAAGCCTGGTTGCTCACTGTGCTTCCCACTGCTCTGCTAGTGATTGTTACAACAACAAGAAGTAACCCTGCAGTGATTTCATCAAAACACTTACTCCCTGCGGTGCATTTCAGCTTCTTATTGGAATACTTTGGATTAACAGAGCCTTAGAGGAAGAATAAAGAAGTCTTTGTGTTTGTCAAGGATTTTAAATAGTAAGTGGCAGCCTCCTAGTTTGCAGAAAGAGCAACTTGATCCTATGTGTTTCTGTTTGCAGCCATGCACATCTTGTTTTGCTGTGAACTCAAGTTCTTTTTTTTTCCTTTTTTTTTTTTAACTGATATTTCTACTGTCTCTATCCCCTGAGACCTTACTTTCCCCCTGGCTTTACACCTGGTGTGGCTGCTTTGCACCTGTGTTATGCACATGTATAATGCCACCAGTATCACGTGCAGGGTAACGCTTCCTGTAGCACTTAGCAGGAGGTGAAAAGCAATGGATGGGTTTCACTTTTTGCATGTGTACCTGAAGCCAGGATTTGACCTTCCAGAATAATGGGGAATTGAACCAAAATCCCAAAAATGTCATCACTTCCCTACATCACCAGGTCCTGCACTAAACACAGTTTATCAAACACATGCTTTGAATATGATTTGAATTGAGGTGAAGTTTTAAAAAAAATATTAAATGAACACATTTGAAGCTCAGAGAGAGCAGTAAGTCATCTCTGACCTGCATATTACAGGCTGAGTAATTTTCACCCAGTCACTCCCGGGCTACATTTGCAATATTGCTGTAATATCAGTATAACTGTGCAGCATCTCAAATCAGAATGTCTGAGTGTTCACGGGGAGAAAAGAGAGTCCATTTGCTTTTTATGCTTGCTGCTCTGGAGCTTAGGAAACCTTGGACAGCCTGAGGAGTGACTTTGGACTGTTAGCTGTAGAGATGGCGTGTGAACATTTCTGATTTAATTTACCGATGAATGTATGTTGAGCTTGCATTAGCTAAGTATTAAATGGCAATAAAGGTATTAAGAGTTAATGGAAAATGGAATACAGAGAGGCTATTGCTTTTGAATGGTACATTTTTGAATAATTGTATTCCCGGTTGATTTGTTTTTATAGATCTCTTCCATGTCATTCTCTGTGCTTTTTGAAATAGATTTTTGTGAGGAACAGATGAAATCTAATTTGCTATATGGCTTGCATTTAACAGATATTTTATTGTTGCGGCATTTTATGTAAGTTATTAATTGCAAAGCACATTATGATGTGCAATTCTAACTCTAGCTAATTTGATTACCCTTGCAATACAGTACAATTTTAGGAAACTCATGTTAGCATGTAATAAGATCTTGCAATTGGGAGGAGAAAAAAACCCCAAGCTGCTTAAGCACTACATTTTCACTGATTTACTTAAAATACTAGCACTGCGCAGAGCATGGAACAGTGTTTTGTCCTTCTCCAGTGCTGCTGCTGAAAGGGTTGGAAAGACTACCCATAAAGATGGCTGTATTTAGTAGTATTATCAAGAGTGATTAACCCATCTCAGTGATACAATCTTAACATGAGTTCTGAGAGAACTGTGTGTAAAACCAAAAAACTATTTGTGTAATGATGGGTAAATGTGCTGAGCTGCAGACATGTGTGCTTCTTTCTTTCACAGACCACAGATGGAAAGATAGTCTGATGATGTGGATATAAGAGTTGTTTCTAGTTTAAAACTTTCTGAATAATCACTGAAATTCAGATTAGGCTTTTGTGGGACTAAGCAGTAGTCTGCATGAGCCACAGTTGCTTATCTGTAAAATAGGAATAGCAGTGCAGTCTAGTCATCCAACATGATGAGAACGGTGTTGCATCCAGAAATTGCTACGATGCAGTAGTGTGGTCGTAGGAACATTGAGATCGGGAGATTAAGCAAAAAACAAACTGATGTGTTCAGTGAATGCTCTCATGCAAGTGTAAACATCAACCAGATTCATACATATTGTCAGGATATTTTGGGAAATTGTTTTTCTGTAGAAAATTTCTCTACTGAGGAAACACAACTTACTGCAAAAGTATTTTGGTTTCTGTGAAACTTTCTCGTGAAGGGGCCTTTGTTCCAAAAACAGAGTTTACCATCTTCATCTGCCTGTGCAGCTCCTTGTGAGCTGGGAAAAGCCTAAGTTCAAGTCTAGACTCTGATGCTGAGCAAGGCTGTAAATCTCTTGTCCATTTTCTAGGTGTTAGGACAAGCAACAGGTACTGGCTTTTGTGGTTTTTACTCCAGTGGAGTGGCAAGAATGGCAGACCACTTCCACACTGTCCTCAAAAGCAGGATACTTGTTTTCTGTTTCCCACTGAGGAGGATTATGTTATTAATTTTAATCCAGATCTTGGTTCATATAGAGGTGTTATGTAAAGTACCAATGACAGAGTTTTCTTAATTTGTTGTTCATTACCTTTGTTCTCACCTTTCAGGGTGTGCTGATGGTTGGTCCTCCTGGCACTGGCAAAACAATGCTAGCAAAAGCTGTTGCTACAGAGTGTGGGACAACATTCTTCAACGTGTCCTCCTCTACACTGACATCTAAGTACAGAGGCGAGTCTGAGAAGCTGGTCCGCCTCTTGTTTGAAATGGTATGTCCTCCATGACGTGCTCTGGGGCTCATTCAGGTGAGAAAGGACAGCACTCTTGGTTTCCTGCCTTTCCAGTAGTTTGCTGGAAGCATGGAGTTCACTGAACTGACACCCCCTCAACCAATTAGAAAAACATAATTTCTGGGTTACCACATATGGTATGTTACTGAGGATTAAGAAGGAAACGCTTCATCACCCATGTTTAGGATAGCATTTTCCAGACTAAAGCAAGAGTTGTGACCTCAACAGAAATTCAGTACTTGTTTGGTTATGAGGTAACAATCCCATGTGAGGTAGATTTGAAATTGGAAGGGGTTTGGAACAGTTATTCTAGAAGCCATACGTGTTTTTGTTCTGTTTTTATTCTGAATCATGGTCACAAGCCTCTCAGTGAAGCTGTGGGTGCAGTCCATCATGTAGGGTGTGTGAAGGACATATCCATGTAGGCTACACCTCTGGGACCCTCCCTGCACTACTGCAATATTCACAGCTAAAACCTGAGTCTCTTAGGATTGCTGAGCTCCCTTCTGTCCCTTATGCCTAGCCCTCACCAGCCTAAAACCTGAATGTGAAAACTGCTTGTATTGTGTCAAGAAGAGTATCCTATTGTGGCAGTGTTTCTTTTCCCCTTTCCAATGTCATTTGCTGGGGCAACCCAACCAACACTGACCCAAGGAGTACAATTCAAAGTGTATAAACCTCAGCATGTGACAGTTTGTAAATGAAGGTCTTGAATTCCTCCCTTGTGACAGTCAAGGAAGATATGTATGCAGTATGTCCAGCAGGGCTGGGTTGTGGTCTGATGAGGGCCTGTGCTTGCTGAGCAGCCTTAACAGTGATGTTTTCATTTGAATAAAGGCACGGTTTTATGCGCCAACAACGATCTTCATTGACGAAATAGATTCCATCTGCAGCCGCAGAGGCACGTCTGACGAGCACGAGGCCAGTCGCAGAGTCAAGTCAGAGCTGCTTGTGCAAATGGATGGTAACAAGGACTTAGATCTGGCTTTGGGGCTGGGATGCTGCTTCTTTACAGGTGGGAATGTAAGAACTCGAGCCATCTGGAAAATCTGGCTTTATGCATGAGAGAAAAATGAAGCACAACTTGAGATGAGTGTATTTTTGGAGTGTTCAACAACAGATAACTGAAAAGGGTGTTCTGCTTTATTTTTTCTAAAATGACTATTTTTAGGGTGACTTGAAAGCACATATTAAAGAGACACAGACTGCACGAGAAGCAGATAATGGAGATTTGTGCAGTTTAATGCAAGTATTTAATTTGTATTCAGTTTAAACAAAATTCTGCCCTTTGCTAGACTCTCCAATTGTGGAACCCCATTGTGAGATCTGCTTTTGCTGTATTCTATGATGGCAGCTGATACTACCCTTTTAAGTCAGATGTAATACCTGTTTTGTGCAGGTGCACACAGCAAGCATGACCATCTAAGGAATATTGTATGGTGTAGAGGTTTGATAGCCACCTTTATATTGCAGCTATCATGAACTGCTATATGAACTGCTGTATATAAACTACTATTTTAAATGTTCTCAAATTTGCAGGTTCATTGTGGTAAGCTCAGGATAGGAAAGCTTTTGGTCTCTTTGCAGTCCTCACTTGGTAAGCTGAGTGACTCCTTGTTTCTTCTATGAGCAGACTCGACAGAGATAGCACTGGCAGTGGGACTAGTAGAGCTACACTCACATATTGCTGTGTTATTGGCAGTGTCCAAGAAAGCCCTCCCCTTACTCAGTAAAATAATGAACTGTCCCTCTCTCTGTGATAATGATGGTCTTGTGACACCTAGCTATGGGAAGTTTGGAAAGGACTATAGAGAGCTGTTGCTTAACTTTGTCCAGGCTATGTTTGTCTGTGCAGTCTTTCTCAGCAAGCATGTCTGTCAATAAGAGCTCTGGAGTAAAATTGCTCTGAACTGTTGTGCTTGCAGGGGTAGGTGGTGCTCTGGAAAACGATGACCCTTCCAAGATGGTTATGGTATTATCTGCTACAAATTTTCCCTGGGACATTGACGAAGCTCTCCGACGAAGACTGGAGAAGAGGATTTATATACCTTTGCCCACAGGTGTGTTTGATAAGACCATTTTCTTTTCCTCTCTATACAAGATGAGTTTAGGATAACTGCAGGACTGTTGTACTTGTAAGGAATCCTGATGGTTTTGTGATGAGCAGTGTAATTCAGGGGTTAATAATTTGTCTGGATCGCTTTATTTTTGAAGAGTGGAAAAAAGAGAAATGCTGCTTGCTTGGGGGCTGAAAAACAAAGAGCTGTGGCATTTCATTGCAAGCCATTGATGGGTTCTTATATTTTGAAAGAGAGTTAGTTTTAATGAGCCTGGAATTATTTTAAATGTTTAACAGCCAGCCCTTGAGTGATCATCAAAGGCAGCCTTTGGACATGTTCACAAATATTGCAAATGCACTCCATGCCCTTGCAGACAAATGGAAAGAAGTAGATCCATGAATTTTCACTTACAGGCTTAGTTCATTGCAAATCACTGCTTGCTTGCCTTTATTACTGTGCTTCCAGTCACTCAGAATGCAGCAGGCTGATTGCTTTCCTGCCCTAAGACATCTCAGCTTGTATTGTCTTTCCTAGCTGTCATTCACCTGTCCTATTAATTTTGAGATTCCTATCACTTGAAGTTTGCATAGCTCCCTTTCTTCTTGGTACAGTGGATGCCTCATCTGCCTGCATGAGCAGTCAAGATAACAAGATGCATGTCCATGGTGACAGTGGTTGTGATTGAGTTTAGCAGGTTAAAGGACACTTTATAGTTCTACAGCTTGTCTGTGCAGCTTACAGGCAGTAACAGCCCCTAACAGGATGCCTGTCTTTATCACCAATTAGTTTAAAATCCTATCAGCTCTTCCTCTTGTTTCTAATTAAACCAGATTGGTTTTTAACACAGTGTATTACACCCTGGACAACATAGGAGATGTGATCTGGTTTTATTTCCAGTGTTAGTTTCTGTTGTGTCTGTTCTGCAAGTAAGAATGTTGTGCTACTCTGGGCAAGTCTTAGTGATGCATTCATAACTGTGTTGTGTGATTTGATGTAGTCAGGCATTTTAACTGAAAAAGTGGCATGGTAGCATATATGCACCTGTGTGTTGTGGAATTTGATGCAAGCATATATTCTGTAGTGTTTAATTTTCAAAATGCTGCACAGACTTGCTTAGCCCCATAGCAACAATTAGAAGAATGTTCTCTGATGCAGGATACTCTCTGCAGGTATACTGTGTGTACATTGTGCCCTCTAAATAATAAATCCCCATTTTATAGCTAGTGCCAGTTGTGTGTGATGGATAACTGTGCTCTTGACAGTTCTGCAAAGCACACAAAACCAGCAGCTCTAGAGAAGCTTTCTATTTTCTTTTGTATTTCTCCTTCCCCAAAAGTTAAAAAAATAAGAATTAGAGGCAACAATGAATAAAACGTAATGTATTTTACTGGACATTTCTTTAAGATGTTTAGCCTTTCCTCCTGCTACTTCTGCTGTTGCAGTTGTCCTTTTTTATAGGTCATAAAAATTGATCACTTGGGGAATAAAGATGCTGAGCTGGCATATTTTTCCTGTACAGTGAAAGCCAGGAAACCAGTCATGCTCTTCTTTCCCACCCTTGTGCACAGTAATACAGAGCCCTAAGCTGTATTCCCTCTTACAAGCTTAGGCTGCTTAACATGTGCACCCAAATGCACATATGCACGTGCCCCCTGCAAGAGGAATGGTTAATTGACTGCATAAGTGCTCATTTACACAGCTGGTTATCACTGTGTGCACACTGCATCTGGGTAGGAAAGTGGGATACCAAGACATTTCTATCGAAAATATATTAATATAGGTTTATTAATGTGTCTGTTTTCTATCAGACTTCAGCTGATTTCTTGGGTCCCAGCTGAATAAACTGCTTAAATGTATGCTTAAAGTTCAGCCTGTTGTTAAGGGGTTTGTGCTGTCTGAAGCTTTTCTAATAGAATCCTTATTGTAGTTCTAATGAAACCCTATGAATAATATTCAGTAAAACCCTCGAACAGGGAGTGGATCCAAAGGGATGTGAGAAGAAACAGAAATTTGTAGGATTGTGCTTTTGTGCCCTTGGGTAATATGCGACCAAATGCTTTATCACCTGAGACATAACAGACATTTTTAGTGACAGATCACTTTGACAAATATCTCTCGACCATGCTGTTTTAATATGCTGCATTTAACCAAATACTTTACTGTATTTCATTGCACACTTCACTATGACTTGTTCTCTCTCTTTTCTTATACTGAATTCTTTTGTTCATACTTTTCACTGAAAAAATCTAGGTTGTGTTTATATCTTTTTTTAGTGTAGCTCTTGCCAGTCTTCAAACAAATATTTTTATGTTCTAGCAAAGGGCAGAGCAGAACTACTGAAGATTAATCTTCGGGAAGTAGAACTAGATCCTGATATCAGCCTTGAAGAAATTGCAGAGAAGATTGAAGGCTATTCTGGTGCTGACATCACTAATGTTTGCAGGTAACACATTTCCCTTAATTTGCAAAAAGAACTGCATGGGAAGTCATCATTTGCATTATATGATGAAAGGCAATACCCACTACAGCTGAAGCCATGCTCACAGTGTCTGTGCATTAGGCCCACATCTATTTACTGTATTCATGTATTATTGTCACGTGGAGTGGTCCAAATACCATGAAGTCTTTCTGTGAGATGTGTTTTTCTTGGACCTGAAGTGAAAAAAATTATCTGAGCTAATCTCATGTTACAATTGGCTGCATTTACTGTAGTTATCTGCATTTGTTAACGTAGTGCAAAGCAGATTGTTGAGGTTTTTTTTAAAATTCCATTAGTTTAAGAGCTAGACCATAATCCAAAAAAATTCCTTTCACAGAACACTTCTTTGGGACTTCTATGTGTTGCATGTTTGGACAGCCCCCAGTGTAGCTGAATCTTGGTGTCTTCCTGAATCTTCTAGGTCCAAGGGGGATATAGATTATAATATTAGTATTTAATTTATTTCTGTCCTGTTCCCACAATTTATTTCATTTTTGACAAATCAGTCTTTTCTGGTGAAGGGTAGGTATTTGAAGAAACTTATCTGAAGGAAGTCTATGTCCCTTAAGAATCCTGTCAAGAGAAACTGATCATGTAAGAGTATGGCTTGGGAATCTTTTTTCTTCTCCCCCTGCTGCCTTCCTGAAAATGTGAAATCACTCCATGGATTTGAAAACTCGGTGTGTGTCACGTAGTAGTGAAATTACCTTTCTCCCTAAGGCTTGTGTTATCCCTTGCTGGGAAAAACCCAGGGAAAAAGAAAATGTAATTTCAGACTGCCTGTGGGTCACAGTGTGAGAAAATGAGCAGCGTTCTTCAAGCTGGTGGGCCAGGCTGGCAGGATCTGAGCTGGGGAGGAGTCACAGAGCAGGCAGAGCATGAGGAGCCACAGGCACCCATGGCCTCAGCATTGCAGGGCCATGTGATGCTGTGTCTGATGCCTCCTGCTCTGCCCTTCACACATCCAGGTGCTGTGGACAAGCAGGCAGCTGAACTGGGCTGCACTCTTAACCCTTGCTGACTGTCCTTTGGGGCTACACTGCAGGGAGAAAGTTGAAGTCTAAAAGAAATGCAGTGTAAAAATCCAGATTACTTTAAAAAAAAAGTCTTTTGAGTTTGTCTGCCACCCTGCCCTTTTCTGCTCTAAAGTTGTAAAATTTCATCTCCATGAATCATTGTAAAAGGTTTTCAGTTTTATAGTTTTAATTATCTCTGCACATTTACCATATGCTTAAATGGGTTTTGGTGCCAGTGCATTCTTTATGTTGAATTAATGTAGCGATCTGGGAACATGGAAGCTACGGAAGATGTGAACTGCATCTTCTATGGTAAATAAATGCTGTCTTAAGTGTTCCTGCCACTGGTTTCTAGCAAGAGTATACAATCAAAATTCATAGGCTTACAGCACATTCTGCTAGCAATTAGCTGCCATGCATTGTCCTGTGTTTCCAGGGATGCATCTTTAATGGCAATGAGAAGACGTATTAATGGCTTAACTCCAGAAGAGATTCGTGCACTTTCTAAAGAAGAGCTTCAGATGCCGGTTACCAAGGGGGACTTTGAGCTGGCTCTGAAGAAAATCTCCAAATCTGTTTCTGCCGCAGACCTGGAGAAGTATGAAAAATGGATGGCGGAGTTTGGATCTGCTTAATCTCAGTGACAGCTTTCCTTTGCTGGAGTTTTATGGTTTCTGTTGTTCTCACTTTCAAAATAAGTTAGAAATCTTTTTAAAGGTTTAATAAAAGGTCTGCCTCTGCCCTCATCCCACCCCTTTCTGCTGACAGGATCTTTTAAGCTGTTTGCCTTTAAAGGGAATGAGCACAATAATGAGCTGATATTGTAAAAGATATTTTATCTCTGAAGTAGAAAAATAAGACGAACAGGAAGGGAAAAATCATACTTCTGAGGGTAGTCTTTTTAATTTTCAAATGAAGAGCAGTGTTACTAAACTTCCTCCTAGTCATTTTTTTTATGGCTGGAGTCAATAAATCAGCTGGGGGGTGTGACTCCAGAGGAACAGACAAGGGCTTGATGTACGCCCTGCTCTTAAATGCTGCTTCTGCCTCCCTTGAATGTGGCATCCAAGTTATTATTCTTTCTCTCTGTGCTCGGATATTCAGAGCAAAGCCTGTGGATTAATTGGCATTGCACAGAGGAAATGAGGATCAGTTTTCCATCAAGACATGGGCCTGACTCTCCTCTCATGTACTCTCATTTGGAATTGATGCCACTTCAGACTGTTATCAGTGTTACCTGCAATGACTTCTGATGGAAATGAGACGGAAAGCAAAAGGCATGGATTGTTCTTAGTCTGGTTTATGCTTGTTCTCTGAACATAGTTTGAACTTGTTTGACCAGTAGGCACTTTGACTTAGGTTATAACTTGCACTTTTATGCTTATGTATCATCTTGTGCTTTGTCTGTGCTATCTAAGTGTAATTGTTATTACTATTATTATTATTATTATTTTAGTACTAAGAGTTTAATAAAGACACTAATTTCAAGGCTGTATTTAAAACACAACACTGTCTTTAGAACAAATGGCTGTGAACTTCCACTTCTGATTAGATATGAACTTTTTCCTAGCATTGCCAGGCAATGGGACTTTTACCTTTTTATGTTGAACTGTTCATGCTTAATTTTGGTTTTTTGTGAAGGTTTCTTAAAAATGTATAAATATTACTGGTTTAGTAATATTTAGAAAATAATCTGTATTATCTCATTTATGTTCTTAACTGTTTCTTCCCTTCCCTCATACAAGTGCAGTGATGAGAAGGGCTCTAAAGTCTAACGTGAGAAGTCCTCTCTAGAGTATACCTGTCACACTGACTGTATGAACTTTTCACAGACTCAGCCTGTGAAGTTTTCTTGTGGTAGGAATGTGAAGGAGTGATCAAACAACCAGATTTACAGAGAAACATGCAAGCTCTCAGGTTTTTGGTGATGTTGTGAGCCAGGCCTTAAGTATTTTGTTGGATGTGAATTGCCCTGCAGCTTGGTAGGTATTCCACGCTTCAGCTCTCTGTGGAGACTCCTAGTGGCACAGACAGATGCCACTGTAAGAAATGCACAGCACCCCTTATTGAATGGGAATGTATCATTATTTGCTTCTTTTTGTTAGTCCTCAGAAGTTCCCAATAATGTCAGTAATTCAGCACACTGGTCTCTTGGGCCATGACATGTTAACACTAAGACAAAAACCTTAAATCACATACTTTGTTTGCTCAGGGAAGTGGTAAAACCACCATCCGTGGGAGTGGTTAAAAAAATTGTAGATGTGGCACTTGGGTACATGTGAACATTTTGACGTGTCAGTGCTGGGTTAATGGTCACATTTGATGATCTGAGAGGTCTTTCCCAACCTTAATGATTCTATAATTCCTCACAGGGAATAACTGGACCTTTATAGAGAGAAAGCTCTGAAAATATTGCTATGGACTCTCATTTTTTCCTTGTGAAGCTGTAGGCAGCCACTGTTGTTCTTTGTTTGTTTGTTTGCAGTAGAAATTAGTAAAGCTACACAAATCTTTTGTGGCCAATACCAGATTAGCACTATGGGCTCTCTCACTAAAGAGGCCATTGCTGCCAAAGGAGCTTGATCTACACAACCAAGATGTAGAAGGGAGTAGACATGAATGCCAGTAACAACCCTACTCAGCTGCCCAAGAGCAGTGCTGGGATTCAGTAGTTGCTGCTTAGTAGGGTCTGAGTTCCAGTTTGCTTAGTTTCACATTGCAAGCAGCAGTGACCTTCCTACTGATCAAAGCACAGCACTTGGTGAAAATGTCGGTCCTTGGCTCTTTGATGAACCTTCTACCTTAAGGCATTAAACTTCCCTCTTGGCTGTTAAGCAAAATTCACTGTACTGAGCATTCCCTTTAGTAGGAATTATTCAGGTGCTGCAGTCTTTTTCTCTAAAGGTCGTGGTTTCTACCCCAGAAATGTTTTTACTGTGCAGATCCATTCATCCTTTACAGCTGCAGAACAGAAAAGTGGAAGTTTTCAGGCAGTAGATGTGATTGTTGTGCCCCAGAATTACTGACATGACTTGGCCCTGCTAGATCAGGCACCCCAGAAGGCTGAGACCATCCCTCCCTTTCAGGAAAGGGAGCTGTCCTTATGTGCTGACCCTTTCATCTTTACCAAGTCATGCTGGCACACGCACCTAGGTGGGCTTGGAGGCTGGGTTATTCACTCAGGGGAGCCAGCAGTGGGTGCAGCAAAGGGCAGCCCAGGAGGGAAGGGCAGCCAACAGTGGCAGCAGCTCAAGGCCCAAAGGATGAGCTTACAGCTCAAAGTGAGACCAGTTCACATCCCAGTGCTGAAAACCCTTGTGCAAGGACACTGGATTCCTTGGAGAGCAATGTACCAGCATGTCACAGCCTGCTGTGACACTGTTCAGTCTATGCCTGTGTGTGTATGGAGATCATCCACACACGTGGGGTATGCACACACAATTGGTGGTGCTTCAGTAGTGGTGCCTAGATTGCATAAAAAACATGCCTTAGAGCTGTGTTTATGTGTTTTCTAAACATCTGTGAAGGCCCTCTTGGGTGGCACTGTTAGTTTTTGTACAGTATGTGATCTGGTTGTATGAAGTAATAAATGTGCGCTGGAGTCTGTCGTGCTCGAGTGGGGCTGGGAGTGCTTTGCTGCTGACTGCTTCCAAAGGCTGCCATACAGTGTGGATCTCTTCAGTATGTCATGATGCCCTTTCACCAAAGTCCTGGATGGAGAGCAGTTTAAATCTGGGGATTTTGGATAAAGCTGTCAGCAGTGCTTTCTCTCTAAATTGGCCTTTTGTTGCCACAAGCTATAAAATGGAGAATACTCCAATGCCCACCACATGGAAGGGAGGGTAGGGGAGAGCAGAGGCCCCAGCAGATGTTCAGTGTTAGCACCTGATTCAGACCTCACAGAGCTAGGCAGCCTTTTTATTACTTGCCTCTGGGCTGGAAGTATAATCAGGCTCCAAAGAAGCTGTATCATCTGCTGCCTGCTAACCAGGAGACTTTCAAGAGCAAAACTTCTATTAGGAAGGAGCTTTCAAACTTGGAAAGAGACCCCATGTCTCCTGGGACTTAGTTGATTATTTGAATTTTCTCACTAACTTCCTTATGAAAGAATGGAGTTTCCAGTGTTTCATAATGCTTCAGACATGAAAGCGAGCAAGGGAAATGCTGATCAGGGGATTTCAGGAGAGGTCAAATCTTTGCATAGGAAGTTCAGCTCACCCCAGTTTAAAAGGGACTGAAATAGCAAAGGTGCACCGACTTGTTCTGATCATGGGAAAGATGAAAGAGCTTGTGTGCTGTAAAGAAGTCCTCCATCAAATGAGCAAAGACTTCATGGTACAATCCAGGCATGAGGACGTGGAAGCAGATGAAGAAATAGTGATTTTTTTTAATCTGTTATTGGAATAAGCCACCCTCAATCAGGTTGTGAATTGAGATGTTTTTTCAGAGCTGTAGTGACAAATAAATACGTGATGAACACGCAGGTGACGCCGTGCTGTGGGGGAGCAGGCAGGGAGCCTGGGAGTCCTGGAGCTGCACACTGGTGTAAGGTGGGTGTCAGCACCACGGCAGCAGCTGGGCCCCTCTGTGAGGGTGAGCTGTGCACCAGGCAGCACTGTGTGCAGAGTGGAGCCAAGATGGACCAGAGTAGCCCCAGTAGTGCTCTGGAGTGAAGCAGACTGCTGGTGCAAAGGCAGGTGCTGGTGCAGTTCGGAGAATGTCCCACCTGGCCATTTCCCTGTGCATGGTAAGGGTTTCACTGGAGCACTGTGCAAAAGCTTGGCCATCACTGTGGGTGCCTCAGTCACCCTGCCCAGAGCCCAGCTGCCACACACAGCACAGCTAACAGAGCTGCAGCAGCCAGGGGTGCTCTTGCATCCCACAGCACAGGAATGTTTGACCCTCTCCATCTTCTGGGCCTGCCTGGTTTTGTGTGCTGGTTGTGACCCATTCTTGTGACCCACTCAGTGCATACATGGTGGTTCAGTGCCTCTGACAGAGGAGTTTCTTTGTGTGTAGTGCAGAGCTCTCTTTTGATCAGCTGAAGTACCATGCTTCTACATGTCTGCATGAAGGTGTCTTGGAAACATTCAGGCAATTTTCCTCTTCTTTAGAAGGCCCCAGCTAGCATTAAAACCAGATGGGATGAATATCTTGGCTGGCATGGTTTCCCAATGCAAGAAGACTTACCTCAGCAGCAAGAAGGTACCACAAGGAAAGTTCTGGCTTTGTTATGAAGTGGCAAAATCTGGGGATGTTCCTACTCCTACTGCACCCGCAGAGTTAGGGTTGTATCATGTCCAAGCTCTGTTTCCTGGCTTTTGTGTATTTGTGATTTCTTTGTTGCAGTAGGAACATTTTTCTCAGAGTTAAGGGGAAGCCATGGGGTATTTGTTCAGTGTCTGGATTAGGATTTTGGAGATCCCATGATCTGGCTGGTACATGAAGCAACTGAACCCATTCCCAGGATGCTTACTTTTGGAGAAACTCATCATGCATCCTGCCTGACTGTCTGGCTGTACAATAAGCAGTGTAGCTTTGTGCAAACTCACATAAATATAATATTTAGAATATTTGTTTGACAAAGAGACAAATTTTTACTGCCAGTTTGCAATTGTATTGCTCTCATTTGTAAGTAGCTCCTTGCATATGTTGTTTGAGGTAAAAGAAAATGTCTTGGAATTAGGATTTTTTTTGAACTTGACTTTGGAGAGCAAGAAAGGTAGAAAAATATTTGCCTAGAGGAAGATACAAGAGTACTGAAGACACAGAGATTTGCAATTTCTTTTTTTTGTGGCTTTCCTTTTTGTTGCACTGCTGGGCTGTGCTTTCTGTTTCCAATTTGTTTTGAAATAATTGGCATTGTTTATCCATCTCTCAGACAGCCTTTGCAGATGATTTGGTTCCACAGAGCCCTCTTTTGCTTGGCTGTTGGTGTTCTGGCACAG